CTGAGCCAGCCTGGCTAAGGATGCAAACCTCTCCCTTTCCCCTCAGCATGGCTGGCTCAAGAACTCTGGGAGTTGAAGTCCACGAGTCATAAAAGAGCCAAGGTTGCCTAGCCCTGCTCTAAAGACTTCCTGTAGGATGGTTTCGGCTGAAACTCGGTGACTGACTCGAAGCCAAACAATCAATTCTTTTGTGGCTGAGAGTAGACGTTGAACTGAGTCTCCTGCTAAACAAAAAAAACCACAAGATAAATAAAAAAGCTCACCTGTTTGAACATCAATGACCATTTGATGCCCTCCTCTCATTCCAGGCCTGCTGTCCTCGCCATCACCTTGTTTGCATCGGACAAAACAAAACAACAGTCCATCATTCGTGGGTTCCCCTGTTCTTCCTCCTCTTCCCCCCCCCCAATTCAGCTGCATTAAAGGAACAAACTTTGGAATACAGGCAGTCCTCGATTTACAATAATTCGTTTAAAGTTACAACAGCAGTGGAAAAAAAGCGGCTTACGAGCGTTTTTCGCACTTACAACCGTTGCAGCATCCTGGGGGGGTGTCACCTGATCAAAGTTCAGACGCTTGGCCACTGATTCACACTTATGACCGCTGCAGTCACATGATCTCCTTTTGTGACCTTCTGACGAGAAAAGTCAATGGGGAAGCCAGATTCACGGAACAACCCATGGGACTGTCTTAACGACTGTGGTGACTTGGTTAAGGTGCTAATATGGGGCAAAACTCACTTAAGAGCTGTCTCGCTTAACGAGGGAAACTTTGAGCTCAATTGTAGCTGTAAGTTGAGGACTGCCTGTGAGTCATTCCTGGAAAAAGACACAGTATTGGTTTGAGGGGTCCTGGGTGCTCCCCAAGCTTGCTTATTTTCTTGCAGACGTTTCATGACCCAACTAGGTAACATCATCAGTGCTGGAAGGGAGTGGGGTTTTGGGGGGACGAGAGGAGGAGGAGGAGAAGGGGGAAGACTCCTCCTCCTCCCCCTCCTATTCCTATTCCTACTCCTCTCCTCCCCCCCAACCCACTCCCTTCTAGCACTGATGATGTTACCTAGTTGGGTCATGAAACATCTGCAAGAAAACGAGCAAGCTACAAATATTCTCCTTCATTGAAACAGTACTGGTTGTCGTAAGGGGGGAAAAAAATGCATCGGCCGAAGAGAACTGGGCATGGTTAGCTGAAGTAGAAAGGCTTCTTAGCTCAGAGCTCCGGAGAGCTGTGGCCTGTCAAATCTAACAAGACTGAGCTAAAACAGCCAACGATTCATTCAGTCACTTCCAATAACACAAAGAAGTTGTCTAGGACTATCTGGGCCATTGATTCTAAAGCCACAGAACTGCTGTGCAAAAAACACAACAGGAGCAATTGGCACGACGCCTCCCTGAGTCTCATCACCACCCCCAAACGAATGGAAATTATATCTTAATCTTATCCACTGCTTTAAGGAGGCAGTCACCCAGCTATCTATATATCTATCTACCTACCTACTTACATACCGACCTTTCTATCTATCTGTCTGTCTGTCTCTGCCAGCCGGCCTGCCTATCCACCTGCTTGTCTATCATCCATATCTATCATCTATTTAAATCTATCTCTATCTATCATCTATCTATCTATCTATCTATCTATCTATCTATCTATCTATCTATCTATCTATCTATCTATCTATCTATCTATCTATCTATCTATCTACCTACCTACCTACCTACCTACCTACCTACCTACCTCTCTGTCTGTGTCTGTCTGTCTGTGTGTCTGTCTACCTCTCTCTCTGTATCTATCTCTGTCTGTCTGTCTGTCTGTCTGTCTGTCTGTCTACCTACCTACCTACCTAGCTACCTACCTCTCTCTCTCTCTCTCTCTGTCTGTCTGTCTGTCTGTGTCTGTCTATCTATCTATCATCCATATCTATCATCTATTTAAATCTCTATCTATCTATCTATCTATCTATCTATCTATCTATCTATCTATCTATCTATCTATCTATCTACCTACCTACCTACCTACCTACCTACCTACCTACCTCTGTCTATCTATCTATCTGTCTGTCTGTGTCTGTCTATCTATCATCCATATCTATCATCTATTTAAATCTCTCTCTCTAATCTGTCTGTCTGTCTGTCTGTCTATCTATCATCCATATCTATCATCTATTTAAATCTCTCTCTCTAATCTCTCTCTCTCTCTCTCTCTCTCTCTCTCTCTCTCTCTCTCTATCTATCTATCTATCTACCTACCTATCTATCGGATTCGCGAGCTGGATGTTGGCACTACCTGTATATGATTGGCCATCTTATCTAAGGCGATTCTGGGTGGCTTTTTTCCCCCCACAGATTTCAAAGGACTATAGATAGTCCACAACTTACAACCATTCATTTAATGGCCATTCAAAATCACAGTGGCACTAAAAAAAGTGAATTACATCTTGGGGGGGGGGGTATTTTCCACTTACGATCGTCGCAGCATCCCTGTGGTCATATGTGATCACAATTCGGATGCTTGACAACTGCTTCATACTTATGACGGTCGCAGTGTCCCAGGGTCACGTGATCCCCTTTTGTGTGACTTTCCGACCAGCAAAGTCGACGGGGAAGCCAAATTCACTTTACAACTGTGTGACTTGCCGTGATTCACTTAACAACTGTGGAAGAAAGGTCACAAAATGGGGCAACACTCACAACTGTCTCGCTTAGCCACGGAAATTTTGGGGCTCAATGAGTGTTGTAAATCAAGGACTGCCTGCAACGTGTGTGAGTCGGCGGCAATACAAATTTTCTAAATAAAATAAAACAAAAATATCCCCGCAGCTGAAGCACTTCCTTTTGCGTCAACAAGTTCCTCAGAAAGAGCTCACCACAAACCAGGTTTCAATACGGTACCTTTGGTGCTTTTGGGAATTATCTGACCCCATCGTGGCTTGTACTCCTGCTGACTGATGTACTGGTTGAACAAGCCATCTGTTTGAAAAGGAAAAAGAAAGAGTCAGCGGCCACGTTCCTCCCATCACAGAAGTCGTCGTGAAATGGCGGGAAAAACGGGTTAACGGGCACTTTGTACAGAATGAGATGGAGAATCTGAGGAAAAGGCAAGTGAGGGAGGTTGTTATTAAATTTAAAAAAAAACAACACGAACATAGTTGTGGATAGTTTTAAGACACAGAACTTATCCAGGAAGTAGGAAAAATCTTGGCATCCGCTACGTGGGGGGGGGGGAAAGATAAGGTGATTGAAGAAACGGGTCAAAGAGATGACTCAGATAAAGTCTGCATATAGGCAGATTTCCTGGGAAGTAAGACTCCGATAGAAGACAATATTCCTAGCTCAGGGTTGAACTGTGGAGTCCTTGTGGAGTGGAGGAGGAGGAGGAGGAGGAGGAGGACTGTGGGTCCTTGATATACTCTGAGCTTGGTGGTTTTCTAGCAGACGTTTCATTACCGAACTAGGTAACATCATCAGTGACAGGATGTGCTAGCACAGTTGACAGTAGGTAACAACCTAGTTTGGTAAAGAAAGGTCTCCAACAAAACCACCAAGCTCAGAGTGTATCAAGGACCCACAGTCATTATCCTCCTCCTCCTCCTCCTCCTCCTCCTGCTCTTTGTAAACTTCACTCCCTTGTAGCCTTGATGATGTTACCTAGTTGAGTCATGAAATGTCTGCAAGAAAACCACCAAGCTCAGGCAGCCCCAAGGACCCACAGTCCTCCTCCTCCTCCTGTTTGTAAACTCCTCTCCCTTTTAGCACTGATGACGTTACCTAGTTGGGTAATGAAATATCTGCAAGAAAACAACCAAGCTCAGAGAGCATCAAGGACCCCACAGTTCTTTTTTTCCTCCTCCTCCTCCTCCTCCTCCTCCTCCTCCTCCTCCTCCTCTCCACAATCTCCACTCCCTTCTAGCACTGATGATGTTACCTAGTTTGGTAATGTAATGTCCCCAAGAAAACCACCAAGCTCAGAGACCACCAAGCACCCCACAGCTTTGGACGATTCGCTAAAATCACATATTTGAAATATGGTACGGACCACGTCTTCGATCTACATCAGTGGTTCTCAACCTTTTTAATGCCGCGACCCCAACCGGTCGTAAGTCGAGGACTAAACCGGTCGTAAGTCGAGGACTACCCAACCAGTCGTAAGTCGAGGACTACCCAACCAGTCGTAAGTCGAGGACTTTCCCTGCCCGGGAGCGCTGCGCATGCGTGGTTCCGCCCCCTGCGCCGGCCGAGGCGTAGTTGGCAAGCGGCAGAGACGGAGCAGGCCGACCACCAGCTGGCCCAGCCCAAGGGAGGTAAGGCACCCGCCGGAAAAGGGGAAAAAATGGACAAAAAAAATGGCGGACAGCCTTGCTTGGCGACCCCCATGAAATGGTTGATCGACCCCAAATGGGGTCCCGACCCACAGGTTGAGAACCACTGATCTACATCAATCCGTGACAGAAGTTTACATTCAACGTACACCACTCACTCCACCATCCAAAACATGGACGTCTGCGAACCTCATCCTGGAAAACAAACCCAGATCCTTAACCCTCTTCCCCTTAAATCTCCCTTCCCTAGGTATCGTAAGATTAAGAAAGGAGGAGAACAATCTCAAATAAATAAATGAATAAATAAAACTCCTTGCTTCCAGTGCTTAAGAAAACTCTACAGCAATTTAATAGGACGTATTCCCAATTTTCTACATGCCAAATGAGACAAAAACAAGAGGACTGCAGCCTTTTCTGGTTGGTTAAGTAAACTTCTTCCCGCTTTTCTAGGGAATTCCTCTGCCTCAAGCCATAAATCTCAGAGTCCAGAAATAAGAGAGAGAAAACACAGAGCAGCCTAACAAGCAGAAAGAGGAAACGTTTCAATCAACCAAAACATACGACTGGAAACAGTTCCTTTAGCGACCGTTACAACGGCACTGAAAAAAGCGACTTGTGACCGTTTTTCACACTTATAACCGTTGCACATCCCCAGGATTGCCTGATTTGCACTCAAGATGCTTGGAAACGGGTTCCTCTTTACGACAGTCGCAGTGTTCCGGGGTCACGTGATCCACTGCACCGGTTAAGTGGGTAACAACGGTTGTTAAGTGAAGCTGGCTTCCCCCCCATTGACTTTGTTTGTTAGAAGATCGCAAAAAGGGATCACATCACATATCACACACACACACACACACACACACACACACACCGGGACACTGCAACCGTCAACCAGTTGCCGAGCGTCTGAATTTCGATCACGTGACCACAGGGGTGCAGCAATGGTGATTAAGCACGAAAAATGGTCACGAGTCAATTTTTTCCCAGTGCCGTCATAATTTTGAACAGTCGCTAAATGACAAATATCTCAAGGGCTGCCCCAAAGAAGAGGCAGTCAAGCTATTCTCCAAAGCGCCTGAAAGCAGGACAAAGAAGCAACGGATGGAAACTGATCAAGGAGAGAAGCAACCTAGAACTAAGGAGAAACTTCCTGACAGTTAGAACAATTAACCAGTGGAACAGCCTGCCTCCAGAAGCGGTGAATGCTCCAACACTGGAAGTTTTTAAGAAGAGACTGGACAGCCGTTTGTCTGAAATGGTATAGGGTTTTCTGCCTGAGCAGGGGGTTGGACTAGATGACCTCCAAGATCCCTTCCAACTTTATTATTATTATTATTATTATTAACAGTTGTAAGTCGAGGGCTCCCAGTATTTATAGCATGCTTATTCTGCCTAGCAATTCTAGTTCATCATGCTGGGTAGACGCAGCAGTGATGGCAAATCGTAACAGAGTCTAAAAATTAAGAATTAAAAAAACCAGACATGCATATCAACAAAGTTAAGGGGAAAACAGCCAGAAGAGAGGTCCGCACCGAACAGTGGATTGGCATGAAAATAAAAAATATTTTAAGCAAATGAATTCAAACGCAGACATTTTCTCCCCTTAAGAGAAAAAAAAAAATCTGCAAAGGAATGAAAATCCATTTGGGTTTCCAGGAAAGCATCAGCGGTTAAGATCCGATCTTTCTGCAGAGTCATGCTGACAGATCTCTTTTGCAAAAGCCAAAAGAGATCCATCACTCGGATGTCTCTTCTCTTTTCCACCTCAGTCGCTTGGAAGAGAAAAAGGATTACGTGAAAATTAGCCCCCTCACTTACGATAGAAAGAGGTGGGCAGGGTCTGGAAACAGGGAAGGTAGCTGTCAACGCTGCTAACATCGGATGTTTTTGCTTTGACAATAGATGCAACCATTTTTTTCTTATGTTTTACTCTTAGAGTTAGAGTTAGAGTTAAATGATGCTGGGTGGAGGAATGTACAATGAGAGTTTAGCTAGATATAACAATACTGAACCTAGTGTGAGAATCAAGGTTATTGAAATAAGAGATGATAAGGATTGGCCGGCTGGAGAATTGGAGGGGAAGCCTGCATTTCAAACTAATTGGAGAATGTGATTTATGACAGTTAACTGAAGGAGGGAATTGTGCTTTGATACTATGTGCTCAGGGGAGGGGAACTCAGATTTGGGCTTCGGCTGTGTTAGTGCCGATGCTATGCTTCTCGAATAAAAATTCTTTAAGGTAAACAATGCCTCGAAGTTCTTTGAAGAGTTTCATCTGTCGGAACCATGACAGTAGCATCTAAATTGAATTGGCCTCAGGATGGAGATACTGTACATCAGAGTTCTCCAATCTTTCCGGGCTCGCGGCCTGGAGGGGAGAGCAGCTTCCAAAAATTACTGTGTGCGCGCGCGCACGTGCAAAAACGGGGCCACGCCCACTGGCGCAGTACTAGTAGCCGCGTTTGTGCATGCAGCATGTGCTGGTGCCATGCGCAGGCGTGAACGGCCGCGCATCCCTGTGGCAGCTAGCGCCCGTTCACAAATGGGCCACACACACACGCACTAGCAGCCTGTTCGCGCATGCACAAATGGGCCACATACACACGCTGCACTAGTGGCTGGTTCGCGCATGCACAAATGGGCCACACACACACCTCGCACTAGTAGCCCGCCATTCACACACCCACTAGCGGCCCGTTCTTGCATGCACAAATGGGCTGCGCACACATACACTGCACTAGCAGTCGGTTTGCAGATGCACAAATGAGTTCCCATTCGAGCCTGCGCGCATGCGCAAACAGGGCCGTGGGCATTAGCACGAGTGGGGGGAGGCAAAATAAAATATAAGATCAGGTTTTATTTTGGGGCAAACACGGTTTAAATGTTTCTGAAAATAGCTATTTCCCTTAATAAACCACTCTTAACTCTGTGGGTCACCTCCGCAGCCAGCTGTTTTGAAATCGCTTAGCAACCGGAGCAAACACAGCTTCAAAAGCTACCGACTAAAGCCAGGACGTCAAAAGTCATCAGATTGCAGGCAGTCCTCGACTTACGACAATTCATTTAGGGACCGTTCAAAGTTACAACGGCACTGAAAGAAAGGGATGTCTTACGACCGTTTTTTCACCCTTATGGCCGCTGCAGCATCCCCGGGGTCGGCTGATCAAAATTCAGACGTTTGGCAGGCAAGCGGTTCGTACGTATGACGGTCGCCGTGTCCCAGGGTCACGTGGTTCCCTTTTGTGGCCTTCTAATCAGCAAAATCAACGAGGAATCCAGATGAACTTAACAACCGGGAGACTCACTTAAGAACTGCGATGATTCCCTTAACAACGGTGGCAAGACAGGTGGTCAAATGGTGGCAAAATTCACCTTAACGACCGTCTTGCTTAGCAATGGAAATTTTGGCCTCCCTCGGGATCGGAAGCCGAGGACTACCTGTACATCGCACACATGGGATATTTTTCACGTGACGAAAACGACAACGCAGCCGGTCCTAGCAATCTGAGCAGCTAATACAAAATAAACACAAAGCTTTCCACTCTGTTTGGACTTGTCAGCCACCCACAGTGCGGGAAACAATCGCAACGCCAAGAGTTAGAAGGAAGCCAGCAGTTATGACACAACACAAATCACAGGCTAGCAATCCCTGACAGAAGCCTTCCGCAACAGTCTCACCCCCCCCCAGATGCCCCGAGGTTGCAATTCCCAGAATTATCTCCACAGGATCGTAACATTCCCGACATATTTGGAGCTTTAAACAAAACAACCACGAATTCACCAGCTCCCTAACTAGATGGTCAGAAATGCCTCTGGCCTTCCTCCCAAGCTGTCAGCCCTGCCCCAACTTGGTCTTCTAGGAAAAAAAAACCTCTCGACTCCATTTGTGGCAAAAAGATTGCTTGTACGAAAAGCCAAGTGCCTACGGTAAAGCCAAGCCAGAACGGAGGTTTTGCGCCTGAAGGTGGCCCAGTTAATTTTCCCTTTTTTGTTCCACCCCCGTTGTCTCCGAATTGTCCAGTCACGTCCAAAGAAGTTGTTTTGGTAACTTTCACCCATCTTTCCAGGGATAGTTACCAAAACAACTTCTTTGGACGTGACTGGACAATTCGGAGACAACGGGGGTGGAACAAAAATGGGAAAATTAACTGGGCCACCTTCAGGCGTGGCCTTGGGGTGGGTCTATGAGAACTCGTCGTGCCAACTTACCACGACCATGGTCAACTCACCGCGGCCAACTCACTGACGCCAACTTACCACGGCCAACTCGCCACGGCCAACTCACCATGGCCAACTCACCATGGTCAACTCATAACGGCAAACTCACCACGGTCAACTCACCGCGGCAAACTCACAGCGGCCAACTCGCTGCAGCCAACTTGCCACGGTCAACTCACAACGACCAACTTACCATGGTCAACTCATAACAGCAAACTCACCACGGTCAACTCACCATGGTCAACTCACCGTGGCAAACTCATCACGGCAAACTCACAGCAGCCAACTCGCTGCAGCCAACTTGCCACGGTCAACTCACAGCGACCAACTCACCATGGTCAACTCACCGCGGCAAACTCACCACAGCCAACTGGCCACAGTCAACTCACCATGGTCAACTCACCACGGCCAACTGGCCACGGCCATCTGGCCACAATCAACTCGTTGCGGCCAACTTGCCACGGTCAACTCGTTGCGGCCAACTCACCATGGTCAACTCACCGTGGCAAACTCACCACGGTCAACTGGCCATGGCCAACTCACAGCAGCCAACTCGCCACAGCCAACTCACCACGGCCAACTTGCCACAGCCAGCTTACCGTGGCCAACTCGCGGGACAAGAGTTACACTCATCTCGATGGCAGTTCTGACCCAACCCTTGGCGAACTTACCGTTGACAGCTTTTTCTATTAACTCTTCGCACGCGTTGAAGTCTCCCTTCAAGACCAGTTTCTCGTGAAGGTCCGTCAGCATGGGGTGTTCCAGGGCGATCTTGGTTTTCTTCTGCAGGGACTCGAACGCCTCCGTGTAGTTGTGTTGGCGAAAGTGCTTCAAACAGAGGCGAATGGCTTCCTGTTCACGGTACTACTGGAACACAAGAAAACCTATGAGAACTGCACTGTTGTGCATCCTGTTGGTAGCCTTGTGCACCCAGGCCTAGGGGACAGGAAAATCAAGATTCTTGGAAGGAGAGGCTTAACAGGGCAGTATATATGGGTTCATTCAATGTTATCCTCATAAGGAATCTTTTGAGGGATGGCTGATCTATGCACTGTATCGTTAGCAATAGCCATAGCACTAATATGTACCATCCCATAGTACTGGTCTTCAGTTCTGAGGATGTTTTTTGGATGAGAAGCAGAACCGTCAGGATAATGATTTAACAGCTAAACAGCTTGTATAAAGATGTAATGTAATGTGGATGATGCAATAATAGGAACGACTCTTCTGGTGTGTGTATCTCTTTAAAAGTCTGAGTATAAAAGGGAAGTTTTTTGCTGGAGACTTTTTCTCTCTCGTCCGTTTGATTGCTGTAGCTGCTGTATATTGGAGTTTGCTGTTTCACCACGTGTTATGTATTTTGTTCCTAGTGTATATTTGTAGATAGAGTGTAATATAAACCATCATTTAATTACAAGCCAGTGTTTACTGCATTTACTCCTGGGTTACCTCAGTGCAATAAGACTGTGCATACTCTGACAAGAACATTTTTAAAGAAAAAAAACAAAAAAACAAAAAAGTCCAGTTGCCTTTCAGAAAAAGCACCTTTGGGATTTTTTTTTCAATGTCACTGTAACTTCAAACGGACGCTAAATGAATGGTTATTAAGTCGAGGATGACCCTGTATAACCTTAATAGAGGCAGTTGGGGTTTTGAACTCAGTTTTGCAATTCACACAACAAGCAAAAGCTCTCTCTCTCTCTCTCTCTCTCACACACACACACACACACACACACACACACACACACACAACATCCACTTAACTGGAGCTGTTTCATGCACAGGATACAATCCTACCTTGCTGTACCAATTGAGACAAGGCTGTACCACATCTGGATCATCAATACCGTTGAGTTCAACATACCAGATGCTAAAATTGAAGCTGGGACCCCAGGACAGGAGCGGAACTGGAAAAAAGAAGGACAAAGAAATTGAAATATGAATTCCTCCACGTTTCCTCCCGGGCAAGTTCACAGCTCCAGTTTGTTCAAGAACACAGGACAAAAGTAGGAGCTGTTTGAGGATGTGATTATCGGAATCACAGAATTTGTTGCCTTTCTATCCTTTCCTATTGCAATTTCTCGTTCTCGGAATAAGATTCCAAATCCAGCAGAGTCTTTTAGAAGAGCAATAAAGATGGTTAGGGGAATGGAGGCTAAAACCTACGAAGAATGGTTGTGGGAACTGGGTTTGTCTCGGCTAGTGAAAAGAAGGAGTAGGGGGTGACATGATAGCAGTGTTCCAAAATCTGAGGGGCTGCCACAAAACACAGGGGGGTCAACCTATTCTCCAAAGAACCTGGAGGATAAGGGATGGGACCCTGCTCAAGCAACACTTATGTCCCATATCCTGGATGGAAGGAAGGGAACTGCCAATAGCCTTTTCTGCTGTCCTCACCACTCTCTGCACCGCCTCCCTGTCTGAAGCAGGGATACTTCCAAACCAGGCTGTGATGCTGTATATAACTAGTATAGAAAAATAAGATCAAACCCCACTCCCTTCTAGCACTGTTGATATTAACAGCTGCAAGCAAACCACCAAACTCAAGAGAGCACCAAGGACACCACAGCTTTGGAGGATTCATTAAAATCACCTTTTCGAAATACGCTAAAAAAATCACCTCTTCAATCCACACCACGCCACATTAGAAGTTTATGTTCAACGTACGCCATTCCGCCATCCAAAACACGGACATGATAGCCGTGTTCCAATATCTCAGGGGCTGCCCCAAAGAAGAGGGAGTCAAGCTCTTCTCCAAAGCGCCTGAAGGCAGGACAAGAAGCAATGGATGGAAACCAAGCAAGGAGAGAAGCAACCTAGAACTAAGGAGAAACTTCCTGACAGTGAGAACAATTAACCAGGGGAACAACCTGCCTCCAGAAGCGGTGAATGCTCCAACACTGGAAGTTTTTAAGAAGAGACTGGACAGCCATTTGTCTGAAATGGTGCAGGGTTTCCTGCCTGAGCAGGGGGTTGGACTCGATGACCTCCCAGGTCCCTTCCAACTTTATTATTATTATTATTATTATTATTATTATTATTATTATTATTATTATTATTATTATTATTATTATTATTATTATTATTATTATTACTACTACTACTACTACTACTACTACTACTATTACTACTATTACTATTATTACTATTATTATTATTTACAGTATGAATCCAATCCTGGAAAGATGTCTACGGAGATAATAATAATAATAATAATAATAATAATAATAATAATAATAATAATAATAATAATAATAATAATAATAATAATAATAATAATAATAATAATAATAATAATAATAAAGTTGGAAGGGACCTGGGAGGTCATCGAGTCCAACCCCCTGCCCAGGCAGGAACCCTACACCATTTCAGACAAACGGCTGTCCAGTCTCTTCTTAAAAAACTTCCAGTGTTGGAGCATTCACCATCCAGGTCATGTTGGTCCCGAAGGTGCTTTTTCCAAAGGCAACTGGGCTTTGTTTTCCCCTAAAAACATTTTGCTTCTCATCCAAGAAGCTTCTTCAGTTCAGATGCCTTTGGAAAAGCACCGCTGGGCCAATCCTGGACAGCAAACCCGGATCCTTCACCATCCTGCAGTTAATTGCCTCCCACAAGAATGGTAAGATCGGGAAGAGAGGAGAACGCTCTGCAAACACCCCGACTTCCTAGACCTAGAACAAAGAGCAAATTAAAAACCGAGCACTTTCTAACAACAAACGCCAGCTTTGCCAGGAAATTAAAATGCCTTCCATTAGTGCGAAGTTTGTTATTTCAAAAGCGTCGGATGTCGCTTGCCCTTTAGCAGCCGAGCACAAAGTACCTCGCAGCAGATGCCGGAGCACTTCAAACAGAAATAAAACCTAATGAATGCCAACAGCATTTCAAATGATGCGACCACTTATACGGGCTGTGCTTCGCGGGCAGTCCAAATCTGAAATAATGGGAGTCATCACACACACACACACACGGAAAGTTCCCGGGCCGCTTGTTACGCAAATCGGTCGTGAAGGCAGCGGACAATGATTTTATAGAGAAGCAATGGCGCTCCTGACACCGTCCCTTTGATCGCTGCGAATCAAGCGTTGTGCTTGCGGGTTAAAGGGAAGGGCCACCGGCCACGCTTAATTTGACCTAGTTCCCAGTTTGTAACTGGGCAGTCGTAACGGCCCGAAAACTGAAGCTTGCGATATATTTAAGTGTCTGCTTGAAGATACATCTAAGGTTAGCAATAAATAGCAGAGGTCAAGTACTTGTCTGTTAGGGAGATTTATCTTTGTCGCAGAATCTCATCCAGCCCCAGGTTAGAACTTTAGCAGTGGACATGCTAGCACACACCAGGCTCTCCGCTTCTTTCCGATAAAGGTGGTTTCCCAGTTCTGTTAAATTGTTATGGTTGCTGTGAGCAGCACAGATTTGCTTAAGATGGGCAGCCTTTGGATGGATGGATGGATGGATGGATGGATGGATGGATGGATGGATGGATGGATGGACGGACGGACAAATAGATTAGATAGATAAGATGGATAGACAGATAGATTAGATAATACGATGGATGGACGGATGGATGGATGGATGGACAAATAGATAAGAGAGTAGACAGATAAGATGGATAGATTAGATAACACTGAATGGATGGATGGATGGATGGATGGATGAACAAATAGATAAGACAGCAGACAGATAAGATGGATAGATTAGATAACACACTGGATGGATGGATGGATGGATGGATGGATGGATGGATGGACAAATAGATAAGAGAGTAGATAGATAAGATGGACAGATTAGAGAACACACTGGATGGATGGATGGATGGATGGATGGATGGATGGATGGATGGATGGATGGACAAATAGATAAGAGAGTAGACAGATAAGATGGATAGATTAGATAACACTGGATGGAT